TATAAGATCTGGAATGATGGTTATTAATCATTAATTTCATCAAAGAATTTTTTGCTTGACTCGTAAAACTTTGAATTACATACTCAGCCTGTAATAAGAGTTGATTTCAAATTGTCGAATTGATTACGAACAAATTTCTATATTGAAAATTAATCAGAAATGTTTTGCACTTTTAGTTTGTAATGCATTATGATTCTCCACATTTATATTCCGAACGAAATCAAGAATTTTTTTATATTCCATTGCTTGTTATCAATCGGACATATCTCCATCACATCGATCTTTGCATCGCACTCCTTTTCCTACTTTTACCGCAATTTCTTAATCGTTCACTTTAAATCTTATCAGCTTCTTATCGTTTGTATCCTGTGGAATTTTTTTTGATATCAAAATACGATACTATGGATTTTTATGATTAATAAAAATTTTTACCATAAAGATCTGATTCCTTTTGATATTAAGAAACATTTGACTGTTTTCATAGCAAAAAAGTCTCAAAAGGAATCTTCTTTGAATATCCTCATTGAAAAAAACAATAAAAAAAACAAGAATTAAGCTTACGATTCATTCCAATTTGTTATATTTTTTACAAATAGCAACAAAATTGTATTAATCGATTGTGTATGCTTTTAAGTAGATTATTCGTAATTCACTATCGAGAAGCTTTTTTTTCAATATTTTCATTTATAAGAAATGATATGAGAATACTTGATTTGGTATAAAATGATATAATTTTAATATTCTTATTATTAGGATGTTGTAATCATTTTTGTAAAATAGAAAATAGAAAATAACTTGCATTATAACATTCTTAGCTTTTCTTACAAAAATTATTTATGTAATTATAAAATAATGTAATTATAAAAAAATTAAAATAATGAATAATTATATATTTGCTATCTCTAATTTAGTTTTCACTTAAATCTTCACTTACAGTCATAAAAAATTTGCTGAATATGAATTCTTCGATTTATAGCATTATTAATGACACTAAAAATAACAAAAAATACAATAAAAATCATGTGATAAAATAATTTTAATTTAGTTATACATACCTAATTGTTGATAATTTTATCATACATATTGAATATAATATAATTTCCTTAAAATTCAAAAGAGATTATAATTATTAAAGGTTTTTATAATTTTCAATTTTTACAAATATCCTAAGATTTATGAGCAAATGTACATCGGAAATTTGAATTGATATATTCGTCGACTTTCAATAAAACGATTCTACGATTGCGATCGATCGATATTAGAATATTGATCCAAATGTATTTAAAAATTCTCGTTTTCTGCTTATCTTTTATTCCTTTTTTACTTTTACTATAATTGGCCGTATACTTTCATTTTTAGAAGTTACATAGTATGAATTGAGAAATGATGTGCCGTGAATGCGAATTTCAACTTCATAATTTTATTTCGAATTTACATATTATTATATATTATCATTTAAATGTTCAACAACGTCTTTGAGTATCTCATCGATAAGTATATCGATTTAAGCAATCGTTGAATTCTTCACATCAATACAAATAGCAGGTTTATTAGAACTTCAAAGATATAAACTTTATTGTGAATATTATACGATTGCGATTGAAGATAGAACATAGAGAGAATATCTAAAAATTTCTAAAAATTTAGTTTTTTCCTTAAATTTTATGATAAATTTTTAAATGATAATTCTTTTTTACAAATTGATAGTTGTATATTTTATTTTCGATTTGAAATTTTTTTTAAAATATGCATATTATATAATTACAATGAGAGTTGAAATACAATATTAATAAAATTGATTTCTCATTCTATTGATTGCTCGAAACTTTATATATGTTTTTAATTTTTAATTTAAAATGTGCATAAACTTTATTATATGAATATTATATAATCAAATTAAAAATATAGAAAATGATGATAAGTCTTGTATATAGTCTTGTAAATAGATATAATTAGAAAATTATTTATCAAATAAGCAAAAATATGAAACAGAAACAGTCTTAAAAATATTTAAATAGAAAAGACTTTTAATCATTTTTATTATTTATGATATTTATTTATGATATGATGATAGAAGATAAACCAATATATTTTAATTAAATAGAAAAGTACCTTTATGATAATTTCATTGCTTAATTATTTTCTTTCTTATTACAATACATGCATTTCATAAAATCAATTTATTTATGTACATACATATAAGTATTTATATATTTAAAATACTAACCTATAATTTTTTGTTTCGCTATAACATATTTTCTATACAATATGAAAATAAAAATAAAGAAAGATACGAAATTAAAATTTATAACATGTTAAAATTCGCGACTATTTTGTGAATGACTACAGTATATACGTGCTAGATGATGCATAATAGAAACGAGATTCAGAATCTCAAATACCTGGTCGAGGATGCAAATGTATTTGAAGCACGATTCTGTCGACGCGGACGTGACTATCGATTTGCGATCAATAAATCGCTTCGATGCTTGCTTACAACTTGAAATTAAAAAGCATTCGATTCGATTAACCTTTTGGTTTGCTTTTAAATTATTAAAACGAATTCGTTATTTTTCTTTTTTCTCGTATTATTTTTAGAAAAATAAAAACAATAATTAAACAATACGAAATTAAAATTTAAAACATAGATTTAAAATAAATAAATTAATATTAGAAACTTAATAAAGTTCTTAAATTAAAAAAATTTTAATAAAGTCTTTAAAATTGATAATATTGATACTTAAATATCTTTTATATTATTTTTATTCTATTATAGTAATATAATACTATGAAACTTACCTAAATAATAATCTTTGAACTTATAGATCCCTCAGCATAGGAGGTAAACAAGTGGAAACGATTGAGCGTGCACGGGATGGAACAGCCTGCGCTTACAGTGCTTATCATAGCACGAAAGGTATACCGGCAAGTGCTCGTGGACATCGTGAAGAATTGCCAATAGCTATGCGTGTCTTGGGTTCCGGTTACCTTACTACTTGTCTGCAAATCAAATATTACCGTCAAGATGATCAGAGTCATTGTGAATGGGGTGCCAGATTACACTGTATCGAATTGGATTGTTCAAGCGTAGAAGGTAGATTGGTTACAGTAGATCGGGAAACTTATAGAAAACTTGGTATAGAATCCTAGCAATCGATGGGTGTTAACGTTATGAAAGCCATCACATAATGAAAATGGCTAATATTTGTTTTTTCATGAAAATACATGATTTTTGTCAATTGTAATTGGAATCAAAATTGTTCGTTAATTAATGAAAAGATCAGAACACAAATAGCAATTTCATTTGGAATTTGAGTAATATATCATATGATAAAAAATATAATATGATGATACTTTAAATACGTTCAATTTTTAGACATGAAAATATAAAAAAATACATGAATATTTTTGAAAACTATCGTAAAATTGAAAATAATAGTTTTTTTATCAATCGACTTTTCTAATAAAGAAATAATATAACAAAATATTTACTATCAAAAAAAAGAAATAACTAAATATCTATTAATCAAATAATATTAACAAAATCATTTCATTAACATATTTAAAATATAATTTCATTTTCCTATTTTTCTATAATAAAAAATATATTTGTATATACATATATTAGAGTATACATGTATATAAAATATAATTATTATAAATTGATATAGAAAATAGAATTAATATCATAATAAAATTATAAGAATATCTTGTTTAATCAAAATGCAAAATACTATTCTAGAATTATGTGTAATATGTTTTTAATTTATATAATACATTTTTTAATGATTCATAATCATTAAGAAATCAATAAAAAAATATTTATTTAATATTTAAAAGATATAAATATATCGATCTACTAATAATTTAAAAATATTATCAAAACGAAATTTACTTGTAATATATTTCCAAAATATACAATATTTCGGCAATTAAACATTTATGCATCGACCAAATATATATATATTTTTTTTGGCTTAATAAATAAAAAGTTGTAAATTAAAATAAATAAATATGGAGATTCCTACTATTCACATATTTTACATATAGTACAGATATTATAATACAAATTATACTAATACCTAAAAAAGAAATTATTATTTATATATCGTAATAATAAATTATTTAAACATAAATTCATTATATTATTTGAAACGTATAAAAAATGCATAGACTAAGAAATGTCTGTTGTATTATTATATGATTGTTAAATGAAAATTGAACGTAATTTACGAATTATATCATAGATTAATATAAAATAGTTTTAAAGAAACTGCATTTAGTTTTTAAATTAAATTTTTCATTAATTAACTATATTTTATTGTAAAAATTATTATATAATTTAATATGAAACTTAATAATATAAAAAAGCACATAGTTATTATTGTGCCATTCAAGACATGTTAAACTATTAATATTATTGCATAAATACTGTCACAATATTCTTACACCTATAGTGTTCTACAATTTTTTATTTTATTTAATAAAGTTAATATAAATTTCTTTCAAAAAAAAATTATTTAAATTATTTAATGGAATTAAATTATTATATTATTTAATGGAATTTTTTATACATGAAAACATTTTATTCAAGTAATTTATATATATGATTTCTTATTATATGTATAGTTTTTTTATTGTCGTGTAATTATTGAATGTTTAATAATATAAATTTTTATATTTTTATTTATATTTATATGATTAAAATAATTTTATTATTATTTATTGATAATTATAAGTGTTTATAATTTTGCACAATATTAAATGCAAATATTCATTTTATGATATATGTGAATACTATACATATATTATAAATTCAAATATTTATAATAAAGAAATAAACAAATGAAATTTTTAAATAAAATAAAATTCATAACTTATAAAAATTTATTATTGATAAATAATAATATACAAATAATATACATGTATATATACATTTTCTTATATAATTATATATGTATGAGCAAATGCATACACAAATGTATATCACATATTATAAATTCTTAACAAATCAATTTTTATTACAATGCTTTCTTAATTTATTAAAAATCTCAGCAATCAGCGAAATGACCAAGCAGTGCCTCTATGCTTTACAAATACAGATTGTTCCTATTCTCCATTGACATAATTATTTATCTAATAATACTGTATCTATATATTTTACAATCTGAAATAAATTATTTAATCCTTCAATAATATATGAAATATTTTAATCTTAAAATATATTGAACATATAAAAAAATTTATTGGTATAATTTATTAGTTTAATTATAAATAAATAAACTCTAGTAAAGTTTACAATTACAGATAAATTTTAAAATATAGGTAATTGATAATTTAATAAGAGAACAGCTAGAACTTTATTAGATATCTTTTCTAACTGAGTTCTCATTCGTACTGCTAATTTATTTGATTTTTTTAAATACATAGCAGAATGATGTAATGCAATTGTATATGGAATAGGACACCAATTTTGATTCACAATTCCCCTAACAAGTGCTGTTATGTAACTTTCTATTAAAGATGTATCTTCCTCAAAAGGATATAAATATTCTTTTAATGGAATATTTAATTGTTCTAATGGTAATCTAATGTATCGAAGTAAACCTACGTGTTCCGACCATAACAATTTTCTATAATGAACATCATGTCTTTGTGTAATTGGTATCAATAATGTCATTGAAAAACCATAATCACCATAGGAAGTTGAACAAAAATGTTCACACATAGCAGTGAACAAATCAGTAAAAGAATTAAGTCCTGGCAGATCTATTGTAAAATTAAATTTTTTGTAGTTATCTTTTACTAAAGTTGTAACGACTTTAGTAAGTAAAATAGAAACATCATTATTCAAATACAATGTATCGCACAAATATATCAATATTAATCTACTAAATCTCAAAGTTTGCGATAATTTTTCAATTAAATCCGGTAGTATTAATTCTAAACTCAATACGGTTAAGACAACAGTTTTGTCATTATCATTACATATATTATTATTTCTACATTTTGTATAGATATGTACAATAGGTAAATAAAACCAATCTTTAGGCATTGCTGCTTGATCCCATTTACCATTTAATGTTATATACTGTTCGTATAAACTAGAAACATCGTGATTTAAATTTAATTTGATATCTTCTATATTTGAATTTAAATTTAAATTTTTTAATTCATTCATTATTATTTTTATATTTAATTTTTCTTTTGCTAATAAAATCCTAAGCATACTTTGTACATCAGATGAATAATCAGCAGGTAAAGATGATACAAGTTTAATAGCAATTTTCCAAATAATATGCATCATCTTATCATTCACTTTATCTTTAATAAAGAGAGTTGCATTTACTATAGCAACTAAAAAAGAAAATTCTGATCTTGTATACCATGATCTTTCTAAACACCAGTCTGTTGTTTCCAATTTTTTTAAATACTTATAAAGTTGTGGAAGATTAAGTATTGCTTGAATTTCTTCCACGAAAGAATGATCAATAAATATATTTAAAACTGTAGCAAGAAAGGGCATACAAGATTGTTGAGATACAATAGGTTGTAATTGGCCATCATATGTTAACACATTTAAATGAGGTAAAGCAGAAGGATTTCGTTCAATAGCTAAAGAACAATTACTTAACAAATTTGAAGTAGAACTAAAAAATAAAAATATAAAAATTAGAATATTCAATATTATTGTAGTAAAAAATTTTAATACAATAATCTTAAGTTCTTAATTTCTACTTACCTGAGATTAGAAAATACTTTTGATCTAGATATGTTTAATTTTTTAATTGCAGTACTATCTTTTGTTGCCAATAATGTTTCTGCGATCAATTTTGTATTACCCCACTATAATATAATAATATTTTATAATGCTTATATACTCATATTTTATATCATACTTTAATTAAACGTACCGTGATATTATCTAAAGATAAAAGTTGTGTACTCCATTTAAATAATAAAACTGATATATTTGCTTTTAGAGATACTAAACAATTTGCAACAGCAATTAAAGCTGCTGCATATTCACAAGATAATTCAGAAATATTTTGAATATCATGATTACTTAATAAAAGTTGTAATTGGGATATAAGAATTAACTGTGCCCCACTTAAACTGTCTGTTGCCTCTTCATACAATAATAAAGTCCTCCACAATCGTAAACTTTCAATGCTGAGATTAAAACTTATTTTTCTATTAAAAAATTTATTTTATATAATATATATATTATATATAAAAATATATGTAGAAAAACTTTCTATTGATATTAAATTAAAATAAATAATATATAATATTACCCTGCATCACAAGTGATGTATGAAATAATACGTTGTACAATTTTAAGATTATTTAATTTTTGTGCAACAGATTTCTCTCCATAACAAAGTAAAACACGACAAAATCTGACTGCAGCAACTACTGGTACTCCATAAATGTTATTTATAGTATCTGTTATTGCTATAAATATGAAAATATATAAATTTTGATTAGTATTATCTCTAAATACGAAATATTTATATGAGATATAAAACATATATAAAAACCTAATGCATCTGTAGATAATGGCATAAAATGTTCAATTATAATCTCCAATAAATGTGAAGTATTTGCAATTTTTATAGTAGTAATAGGCGAATGTCGTACAAATCTAATCAAAATTTCCAATGCACAAGTTACAGCAACTGGTGGTGGCCGCACTTCATTCAAAATATAGCTACAAATAATTTCAATTAGTTTTTTAAATAAATTTTTCATAGCATTTATTCAAAAATAAAATAATTGAAAATACCGAATTCTTAAAAGTATATCAGTTCTTAATAAAGCAGCAATTGCATCCAATTGCACTAGTTCATGATCTTTTAAATTATTTATATCATCAACATCAGTCTTTGGTGTTGTTAAAATAGGTTCTTTATAATTTTTAAAACCATATAATCTATCTAAACAAATTTCATCCTCTTCGCTATATAAAAAAGCTCTAAGTGCTTGTAAAGTTGCTGTAATCACAGCTACTGATGTATCATCCAAAGAAAATCTTAATAATAGTAAAAGATTTCTTTGACTTAATGCAATCAAGGGTGGAGGTTGTAATGCTTTATCATACCAACCCTTACGACTTTTTTCTATAATATTTGCTAATGTTATAAGAGCTGTACACCGTTGTTGTTGTGTTGACGATCGAGTAAGTTGCAATAATTCTTGTAAAGAATAACCAGGACGTTCAGGTTCTTCTCCATGATGATGTAGACCTTTGTGCATAGATATATTGTCATCTTTATAAGCTAATAATACACCTATTAAAAAATATTACAAAAATATTTTAAAAATATTGAAATCCATGCATTTTTTATTTTTTTTTTAAATAGATTGATATTTGAAAATTTACCATTAAAATCAAAACGAGCATTGTATGGTTCATCTGAAGCAAGTTCATTTGTTTTTTCTGCAGATATATCTTCCATCCATTTTAATTTTTCATGTTCAAGAGAATCCATATGTATCCAACCTTTTTTTTTAGCTTGTTCCATTAATTTTTTAGGAGATTTTGGTATATTCTGTTCAAGATCATCTATTTGCATTGGTATAGTATTATCATTATCTTTTATTAAATTGTCATGTTTATTAGAAATTTTTTCTGCAAATGTTTTTTTTACAAATGTAGATTTCATATTTTGGTCTTGAGTTTCATTATTTAATATTTCATCATTTTCTCGAATTTTATTTACTTTTTTAATTCTTCTATCTCTTAAAAATTGTACTAATTCTGGCTTCAGAGTTATTTCAAGTTTACTTTTTTCTTTTAATATGTCTTCTTGATTCATCTGGTTTAATCGTTCTAAATTTTCTTTATGTATTTCATTTGCCCATGGTCCTTCTATAATAACACTTTTATCATTAATGCATAAAAATTCAGAACTTTGAAATTCTTTTATTCTATTTAAAGCATTACTTTTAGGAGAAATTTGTTGCCAAAATAAGCTTTGACTTTTACCATTCTTCTAAAAAAAATAAATAAATAAATAGATAAATTGAAATCAATATATTGATATAATTTCATTATATTTATTTTTATTAAAAATTTTTTTTATTAAATTATTATTAAAAAGTAAAATAAATAATTATATATACCATATCTGTAGAAAGAAAAACTTCAGGAAAACCTGTGTTATAACAAAAGAATTTTTTTTTATCAAATTCATCAAATGTATCATATTTTTTTTCCACAATATTTCCTATTACTATTTTTGAAGATGTTATATTTTGAACAGAATCCTGTAATTTTCTTTTTTCAGTCTCTTTAATCATAGGATTTATAATATCACCATTTCCTTGCGAAGTACATATTTTATCTTCTGTTTTTAATCTTTTTAATTCAGAAAATTTTGATTTGATTTTATTAAAACTTTTGTGATTGTAAGGAATTGCAGTAAAAGTATTTAAAGATTTTGTGGATTTCTTTAAATTAATTACTTTAACTGATGGTTGTTGTTTATTTTTTTAAAAAATTCTTCTTGCATACGAAATAATTCTTCTTCACTATCAGTTGGTTTAGGTCGTTTTAGAACTGAATTTCCATCCATTATATTTATATTATAAAGCTTATTTTTAAATTCCAATTTTCAACTTATTTTTAAATTCCAAAATTTTAATTCTTATTGAATCTTATTAATTTAATAAGAGTTTAAAAAGAATAATTTAATAATCTTATTAAATCTTATTAAATTCTCATTATTTTTATTTTTATTTCTTATCTTATGATATACTTAAACAACATTGATATTTTTATTAATTTCAATATTTATTATTTTCTATAACTTTATATATTGTCAATTTATTTTATTTTTTCAAATATTATATTATAATAGAATATATAATATTATATTATATTAGATATTATAATATCTAAAATTAATATATTTTAAGTAAAAATTCTTACTTGTTATTTGAGTAACTTATGATTATGAATATATTTCAATATACAATGAAATTGCATTGTTATTGCATCGTTACTATGTCTGGTTTCGTGTTAAAAGCAATCATAGACAAAAAGAACAAATAATGGAAGAAAGATAGATTGTGCACACACATTAACAGATTAACTTTATTTTTGAAATGTTTTTAACACTCAAGAGATGGCATTAATGGTTTTATCTATCCATTTTCCAATATTTTGTATCTTTTCTTTTGTTCATTAATTTATGATATTTTAATAGTATTGATTCTCTAATATTTAACTTATTTTTGTTTTTTTCTATCATTTATTCTTTTGTCAATATTTATTTTATATTTTGATTAACTTTTAACTTATTATCTTCTTTTTGAATCATGGATATCTTATCTATATTGTATGATATGCAATTTTTTTATATTTATTACGATATTTATAGTTACATTTATTAATAATGTGTAAATAAATATAATTTATGTATATAATAAATTAATATATTTTTATATTAATTAATTTATTATTAATATTTTAATAAATATATATATATATATAAATCAGTTTTTATAAAAAATCATACAAACTGATATTATTTTTATCGTATAATAAAAAATATAAGCATAAGTTTTAATTCATAAATAATTCAATTTATATGTCTATCTACTATTCATAATAATAGAGAAATCTATGAATGACATATAATGCATAGTAATATTTATGAAACGATATATTAAAGAAATTATATTTAAAATTTATTTAAAATTATAATTGCAAAATAACAATACAATTTATAAAATAATAAAATAATAAAAAGTTGTAAAAATTACGTATTAGAATTTGAATAACCTTGAACATTCTGCTATATATACAGTAAAGATATAAATGCGTGTATGCGTGTGTGTATGTGTACGTTATATATTTTAAGTTTACCATATGTACACGTTACGTAGTTATCTTTTGTCGTTATTGATAGTAAACATTCCATTTAGTTTAAAATAAAGCTATGTTTTTCGTAGTGTTGTTTAAAATCAGTAAGAATGTAATAATAGTGAATTATAATATACACAAATTATAATTTTTTTCAAACGTTTATATAATGTTATTGTATCTGGTATATTTTCTTTGTTAAAGGTTATGAGTCATAGCCAGTTTCTTTATAGAATTTATCATTAACTTGTGCTTTCTATGAAATAATTATTTTGTCATTGAAAGAAATTTTGAATATGATAAAAATATTAATGAAAAGAGAAAAAACAAGAAAAAATATAACATTAAAAATATTGAAAAGAAAAATAAAATATAAATATTGATGTATATATAGTGAATTATATTAATAATTATTATAATATAATACAAAAAAAATCATAAATTTGAAGAATTTATGAGAGAAGTTATGGAGATTATGTTACTATTTATTGAAATAAATATACATCATTCTTATTATAAAAATATATAATACATAAAATAAAATTTTGTAAGTGATTAATATTAAAAACTCTGCAGAGAAGAAAACGTGCACAGTATTATCTTTCATTATAGCAAGTATTAATATACAGCTAAATGTGCATAGTATTGTCTTTTTAGTAGTATTAACATCTAGTTTACAGATATCTTTTGTAAGATTTTAAACAATATAAATAAAAACTAAACTAAAAAATTTGATGATTTTATAAGATTTTTTAAAAATTAAAGTTAAAAATTACAAAGTACAAAATAATTATATAATAAATCTCAAGATATTTTTAATATCTATAATAACTTAATTAATAATTAAAGAAAGTATACTTTAAAAAATATGACAGTAAGGGATCAACCATGGGGCTTACAACTTATAGAATATATGATTTCCAAATGTTGTTCTCATCATCGAATAAATCGAATGACATGGCATCAAGGTGGTATTTTGATACTCACATATTTAGCATACACATGCTACCATATGACACGAAAACCTATGTCTGTTGTAAAAAATGTGTTGAGTTTTAATTGCAGTACTTTATCACCTCCTCCAAACTTTTTAATCAATAGTAGTAATCGAGATACATGGTGTGATTGGGCTCCATTTGGTAAGAATAATATTATTTTAATAATTTTAATAATTTTTCAAAATTTAAATGAGATTTCTTATATTTTATTAATTTTAATTAGATACTGCTGATGCTCCGGCATTGCTTGGCATATTAGATTCAGCATTTTTGTTTGCATATGCTGCAGCCATGTTCCTCAGGTGACATATTGAAGTGAGCTTATTTATGAAATCAGAGATTATAAAAATTATATTGATAATAATTTTGTATTTATATGTACAGTGGTTTTATAGCAGAAAGAGTAAATCTACGATATTTTCTTACATTTGGCATGCTTGCATCTGGTATTTC